AGTGCCAACTTTAGTGGATAGAGGGTGTTGCATGTTCAGCGCAACGGATCCCCACGGCCGTTAATCTTGGTTTTCTAGACCGGAGCCGCTATTTCCTTGAAATAGCTCCTAAATTACCCACATGAGGCTGAGTGGATCCCGTTCCAGACCCACTACTTCTCAGAAAATTTGGTAGAGCCGGGAATCGAACCCGGACCTCGCAGCCGGGACCTCTGGATCTGTAGCCACGAACTCTGACTACTAGACCACAGAGGCAGTCCTCTTAAACCTAAAGTAAAACTTATCCTTGTGCTTAACAAAGCACCATGCCTAGAAGACATAAAGAGTAGTGGAGGTACCGCTCTATCAGTTCTTACTGTCGGGACTAGATGAAAGTGAAAATTCAGCTTCTAAACTGGACCATTTACCCCCCAAAGAACGAGACGGCGGTACCAATTTAACAGGGTAGGGTGGGCCCTAGAACCGGTCTGGACTCTGCTAAAAATAGAAAAACATTTATCATTACCACCTCAAGGTTTTACACGGCGCTCGTGTACCTCGTAACTGTCTTCGTCTCCTCAGTAACAACATGCTTCGCCAGCTCAACCGGTAAAAACAACCGAACAGCGATCTGAATCTCGTGGCGGTAAACATCTTGTTGTAGTGAGCCGACCTCAATGCTTCAGCTGAAATTCGCTCAAAGATGTCACTAAAAAAAGCTATTCATTATGCGCATTGCATTAGAACTGATGTATCAGGCTGAACCTGCTTCCCCCCGCGACGGCCCGGGTTCGAGCCCGGGTCTCGTCAAGTGGGGTTTGTGGTGGAAAAGGTGGCGGTGGGGCAGGTTTTCTCCGAGTATTTAGGTTTCCCCTCCCAATCTTCATCCCACCGAATTCTCCATCGTAATAATAACCCGGGGAAGGTTACAATAGGCCAAGCAGTGGCCGCCGTGCCGAGTGGACCCAGTTGGAGTCCACCAACCAATAAGCGAATTTAAAAAAAAATTGCGCATAGCGTAACTCTTTTTCCTTTAGGAGGCATTGCGCGCACACCGCTCAGTATCTGTGAAGCAGGAAATCACCTTCCGGGAATGTAATTCCGGTTATTTTGATGTCAAACCCGTAAGCTGTAGTGACACAAAATGAGGAAGTACTTACAGGAAAGCATTGAGGTGATATCGACATCTGCTAGTTCCTAATAGAAGATCCTGAGATTTCAACAGTGGAAGTTCATTAATAATTGTTCTGACTAATATTGCTTGCACTATTCTAAACAGAGACCAGGAAGGTAAACACTGCAGCGCAAGGGATTCCGTTTTAATTAGAATTATCGCGGAGGCGATATCTGTCTGTCTTGACCCACCAGCTGCGATGCGATTTCCCGTCTTCCTTCCACGCAGAACCAAGATTTCATTTTACGGTCCCTCGTTTCCTCGTCACATTTTCATCCTAATGTTTATTTGCAGTTTCAAAATTATCAATACTTGAAGTAACTTTTAACAGACTACACGGCGTTATACCCCAGAAGACAGAACTGTTCACAGTGACCGGTGTGGGAACCTCAAATGCTACACAGAAAACAAAACGATTGAAACACGAAAACGGAAAGAATCCCTGTAACAGGCCGTGGAGGTCCATAGGGTTTTGAGACGTCGAGGCTCCCACATTTTCTACACAATCGGCTCATAGATGGCGGTAAGGTCAGCCTTACACATTGGCCACCCTTTACTACCAGGAAGATTCCTGGTTCTCATTTCTGTTAGAGGCTGAGTCGACCCCAGAGTGATAATGCGGCTGGAAGAATTAGGTAAATTTAAAAACTCCAATGACCTCATCGGGAATCGAACCCGCGACCTTCCACCTTGTAACATAGATCCTCGACCAACTACGCTACCGCGTGCCTCCGGAGAAGAGATGGTCTCTGTATTTTTGTTGTTCTCAAAATGATTACGCGGTTACAATTTAAAAGTTTTATTTTTTTACGGCTCAAAGCGATGTGGAGACATGTGAAGTGTCCCTCTAACGGTTTAAAGTGAGCGAAACAAAGCCAAGTACAAAAACTTTCTGAACGGTACGACTGTTTCGCTTACTTGAGGTACCCGACAGGCCGAAGCGCAGACAGGCAGGGGTTTGTAATCACGCTAAAAGCCTGCCGCCCACCTCCCATCATGCTTCGCGGCAAAGACAATGAACGGCAGTCAATGCCCCTGACAATACAACACCTACAGTTTAAACCCCTTTCGTGTGTTTACATTAATACACTTAAACGTGTTTAGTAACAAATGAGATAAAGTGCCGTATACTTTCTCGTATTACGAAAGGATTTTATGAACGGAATCCCAGACGCTTTCCGGCAGATAAGGTAAGACGGATAGCATAGCCTACCAGGTTAGGAGATGGCTTCTCAAGGTGGGCCATTGGGTTCAATCTCGGGTTACATCTTTTCAGGTAAAAGCAAATCTGTCACTGTGATTAATTAATTCAGCACTATACCATGATATATGGGAGAGTGGAGGTATAGCTCCATCATTCTAGATCTAAGCACTAGATGGAGGTGAGTGATCAGATTCACGCCCCGGCCGCTATATCCCCGGAGGAAAGAGCCCCCCGATACCCATTGGATAGGAGGCTGGGTGGGCCTCAGAGCCGGTCTGAACGCTGTGGGTAAGAGGAGAATCTTGCACTGTCGGTAATCGAACCCGAACCGTTCAGTCCGTAGTCCTCCGCTATACCGACTGGGCTCTCCCGTTGCATTCTGTGCTAAATGTTCGTAAGTGTTTGGAGTAGTAGTGTAGGCACTAACAGCAATCTCAGTTAGTGACAGCCTACGTAACGATATTAAGTAAAGCTCTCCCTGCAAGAGGCCGTGAAGGCACATAGGCTTGTGAGACATCGAGGCTCCCATATTTTCTAGACAATCGGCTCACAGATGGCGGTGAGGTCATCAGCCTTACGCGCCGGCCGCCCTTTACCCCAAAGAAGATTCCTGGTACTCGTTTCTGTCAGAGGCTGAGTCGACCCCAGGGCCACAGTGCGGCTGGAAGGTTTAGGTTAATTGAAAAAATCCAATGACCTCATCGGGAATCGAACCCGTGACTTTCCGGCTCGTAGTATAGTGCCTCAACAACCACGCTACCGCGTGCCCCCTGACAGTCTACAGATTTTTAAAAAGTCTAGATCCAGAAAGATACCAAGCTCTTCCGACAACAACAACAGCGATGTGCCTGACGGTACTAAGGACAAAGTGTACAGTGCAGTGGTCTCCCCAAATAATAAGTGTTGCCTGATGATGGCCCATGCGTGGCCGAAACATGTAGCAATGACATCCAATGTACATAGTTAATGATAATGACATTTAAAACATTTAACAAACACTTTTTATTGAATTAAATATATTTTAGTGTATTTTAAGAAAGGATTTACTTTTTTGCATTACAGTTGGAATATGTATACTTTACAATTTAAAATGGTGCCCCAATGCTGAAATATACGCGTAATATAACGTAGTAAATTTGTGATAATGATGTAACGGTCTACGTTCAGTAATTGCCAATGACGCACCCTCGTTCCAATGGTGGATGAAGTATAGTAGTGATTAGCTCAGTCTAATGAACCCAACAGAGTGAGTTCCGTAATCTTACGTGAAGAAAGAAACAGCTGCCGAAACTGTGTGTTTTTAATCTAGCGCAAGATTTTGGAGAATATCGAAAATAAAATGTAATTCTAAATTATTGTCGGGGGTTCCGTGACCTATAATTTTCAAATCTGTTATCTCAATTCGAATATCATCAGCCAGATGTGGTGTTCCAGCAAGATGGCANCCCCCCCCAACTGGACTCGTATTGTCCACGAATTTCTTGACGTGCATTTTCGTGGGCTCTGCGTTGGGCGTGATGGACCAAATCAGTGGCCTCAGCACTCACCCGATGTTAACGCCGCCTGATCTCTTCCTGCAGAGATACGTTAAGGCCAGTGTTCAAACGACCTCTGTGACCTCTCTCAATGAACTGAAGCTCCGAATTATTGCTGCGATCGAAACGGTTACGCGCAAATGCAGGAGAACACTTGGAGGGAAACTGAATATCGCTTGGACATCTTACGTGCCAAGAAACAGTTACGTGCAAATGCAGGAGGACACTTGGAGGGAAACTGAATACCGCTTGGACATCTTACGTGCCAAGAAACAGTTACGTGCAAATGCAGGAGAACACTTGGAGGGAAACTGAATACCGCTTGGACATCTTACGTGCCAAGAAACAGTTACGTGCAAATGCAGGAGAACACATGGAGAGAATCTGAATACCGCTTGGACAATTTACATGCCACGAAAGGAGCGCATATTGAAGTTGTTTATAATTCTGCAGTATTGATTTTATTGGTTACAAAACTTTTTTAGATATACTTTCGTATTCCGTTAGCACTTTTGTTTTCTAAAGCGTTCTGACGATGGTGTACATCACACAGAACTACTGAGATTTTAGACTTTTTCTATCGACCTGTATTCAAAAACAATTAAAAAACGCGGCGTTTAGGAAACTTGATCTGCTTCCGTCCTCCTCAGTCACTGGATTTAGGCTGTCTCTTTCTAAGGGTCCAAACTGAGTAGGTATCTCCCCCCCCTCCCTCACCTGCGGACGGAAACAGATTCAGTTTCCGAAACGCCGGGTTCCTTATCGTTTTTTAATACCGAGCGATAGAAAAAGTCCAAATGCCCAAGATTTCTGTCAGTTTTATTTTGTTGTTCCCGATTTGAAAATTATAAGCCATGAAAACAACAACAATTTGGAACCACCCTGTTTATATCGGTTCAACATTCATGTTATAATTTAAACAGTGTCTTTGATAGGTCTCGTATTCTAACAGACGTACAAAAAGGCTGAGTTACGATAACCTGATCTTACAGCTCATAAGCCACAAATACAGACAATCGATAGCCTAAAGCATTGATACCCGGTGTCATAGCGCGTACGCCACAAGCAGACTACTCATGCCAAGTGATAAGCAACTTCAGTACGTTACCCTGATGTTGCCTGTTGGTCGATCTCGGGCCAAGACTGTCTCCTGCGACAGAACATGAGTGGTTGTCTGGACATGGCTGCAGACACTGGAGTTGTTGCTTGCTGCTGCTGTTGCTGGCTTGTCTTCCTGAAGGAACCAAGTCGTCGTGGAGGACTTGTCCCGGGTGGTAGCACAAGTCCAGGAGGCGGTGGGCACTCCAGTGTGCGGCGCCGAGTCGACAGAGAACGGCTGTGTGGAGGAGTAACCGTGCCGGGAGGTGGCACCACTTTGGGGAAGCCATGCAGCCCGCTTGGACCCGTATGTGCCGCTGGACTTACTATCACATTACCAGCGGATGCACTCCTACCACTGGTCACTGTGCCGCTTGAACTTCCGGTTGGTCCTGGAGTTAACGGAGGATGACTTCCGGTTCCATCTGTACTTCCTTCTCCAGAAGAATCACGGCTCAGGGAGAAACGTTTTGGGCTTAAATTTAAGTTGGCAACACTGCTAGTCACATACTGTTGCAAAGAGTTAAAGAAACTCATCTTATCCAACTATAATATTTTAATAATATTTCTCTTAATATCAACAAAGCGCTCTCAAATTCTTTAGTCTGTTCTTTATGTAATAGGCCCCATTATAGTCATTCTTATATCCCGAATAAAGTCCATCACGATTATCTGTCCTTTGTTTCAAAGTTTTATTTCACAGTTCTGTCTGTTGTCTGTTGTTTCAATGGCCATTTATTTTGTGTTTCCAAGGGCCTGCACAACAGCTGATATAGGATTCAAACAGATACCCAACTATTGACAAAATTCAGTTTTATATCACTTCAGTAAACAAGCTCTTAGACAGACGGAAGGTAACACTGAATCTCCACGTATAACAGATATGTTCTCTTCACTCTCCGATGTTTAGAGTTGTTGCTTCAAATCCGTTTCTGTGGCTTTCTTAGCTGATTGCAGTGGCACTTCACTTGCTATACGTCAAGCAGATGTCACATATAGTTGAAAGCGAAACAAAAATAACCTCTTCTTTCCAATATTTTAGCTACAGAATAAAATATCTAAATCTACGCTGAAAGTGACTTGTTTCTCTTGTTCTACATTGTTGAGAAATTCGTCCTTCAGCACAACACTTAATGCCAAAGTTTCAGTTAATTAAGTGCAGTGGTGCCCAAAATGTCATTTGTATAATGAATGAAACATTTAACACAAAAGTTGACTGTTTATGCTGTAATTCTGTTTTGAATTCACATCTGAACTTCCATATCCGATGAACACAGTACAGAGATATTCTAAAATAATGTGATGTAAGAGTTGTATTCCAAGACAGTTCAATATCTCTTCAAATTGTTCGTGACAAATGATTGGCAACGGTGAGATCTGAACATCTCCGTCTCCTCAGATTAGCCTTCCTTCTGGATGTTGTATAGTTGACTTGTTAATCAACAGGCGCCGCTTTTGTCGTCCACTTCAGCTGCTACGTCATGCATGGGTCCACACTGAGCAAGTAAGAAACAGCATGTAGTTAATATAAGTATATCTACATATTAACGCGTCATTCATTTAAATTTGGAAAGAAGAAATGTTAGAGATTTCACAAATATTCAGTTCACGTGCCTTTATTTTTCTTCTCGGTTTCGTGGTCACATGAATTTTATCCTAGTGATGGAGAGTGACTTATAAAGTCCCTGCTTAGTAGCAAATATTAATAAATGGGAAGTTGGAGACATTGGGGCATGCGATTATAATGGATTAAAACAGAAATTGCCAAGGAATTCTTTCAAAGAAATCCGGAAGACAGAAGAAGAATGGTAAGACTAAGATTCAAACGGCTGGAAGATGCGGACAATGATATACGGGAGCTGAAAACGAAAACGTGGAGGCAGAAAACAAGTAACAGAAAACAATAAGGATCTGCCATAAAGGAAACTACTATTCTTAGAGAAAAGTAGAGCCAAAGAGTGAGGTAAAATATCAACGAATTTAGATCATGCCACAGCTCAGGCGACTACGTAATACTCGTAGTTTCTCACCCTGAAGCCTCAGGTAACTTCATATGAAATTCATGTTAGACAAAGTGACAATGCAGTAGACTTTTTCTCGGAGTTCAGATGTTTTTCCCCTATGTTCAACATTCCGCCGTTGCGCCATATTCATCTATCACCAGACACTCAGCTGTGCAAATGACCTGTGCAGAAGGCACATTATCATACGAAGCTGTTTAAATGGCCGGTCACGGTATCCGAGCGGTCTAAGGCATGTACTGTTTTCGCTCGCTCGGAAGCCGGGATCGTGTGTTCGAATCCCACACAAGGCATGGATATTTGCTATGTGTATTTGTTTATTTTGTGTTTGTGTTGTCTTCTGTTTAGGTAGAGGCCTTGCTATTAGCTGATCACTCGTCCAAGGAGCCCTACCGTCTGTAGAATGGTCAAAATGAATAAACAACCTCGGCACAGTAAGGTACAAGAGGAACGGATTAAATAAGTTTGTTTCTTCCTCTGGCTCCCACTTTGTAGCATAGAGCTGATTTCTCAGTTTCTTGATCATTTTACATGCGGTAAGACCCCTTCGACGGGTGATCAGCTCGTTGCAAGGCCCCTACCTAGACACAGGACAACATAAACACAGAATAAACACATACACATACCAAACATCCATGCTCTGAGTGGGATTCGAATTCACGATCCCGACTTCCGAGCGAGCGAAGACGGTACATGCCTTAGACCGCTCGGCTACCGTGACCGGCAAGTAAGTACGTAGGTAAGTAATTTTTTTAATGCTAGTGGGGTGGGACTAAGTGCCTTGTACTGCGGCCACTTCTGGCCTATTGTACCAGCCCCAGATGATAGGTGAGGGTGATTGTGGAGCAATTGGTGGAATGAAGATTGGCAGGGGAAACCGAAGTACTCGGAGAAAACCTGCCCCAGCGCCACTTTGTCCACCACAAATCCCACTTGACGAGACCCGCGGTCGAACCTGGGCCGCCGCAGTAGGAAGTCAGCGACTAACCGCTTGAGCTGTTGCGCGGCCTAGTAAGTAAGTAAGTAAGTAAGTAAGTAAGTAAGTAAGTTCTTTAAATTTATGGCTTCATCTCCGATGTGGAACGCAGCTCAATAACAGAGTAAGGCATTTAGTTGATGGTGTTCAGCATTAGGCCTCTACGCACATAGCAGAACACGGCACAGAGAAGTGGAGATATACAGTGTGTCTGGGGCGCAAACTTGATCCAGGGACATACGCACACAGATTAACTATTTTAATCAAAATATAAACATTCAAACTGCCCATACCAGCCCTGATTCACTTTAAATAAATTCAATCTCTGTGGAATTTATCGCCGGCGTGTCTTTTGCTCCTTGATAAGGATCGATTTGATCTGTAAAACGTGTCTGCAGCCAGAGGCGCCTGAAGGTGGGAATGTCGTGAAAATGGTGTGGTGTGGGATCTGTCTTCGAGCTGTCGATACATCGAAGCCACGTAGCCACAATTGAAACGGCACGATACATCGCAGTATCCAACGCATCGATATGTAAACCCAGCTCATTTCTCAGTTTTCCATAACATTTCTTTATTCCGGTATACGTGAGGGAAGAAAGAAATGAAATCAGAAAAGGAAAGACAAAAACAGAGGAGCCCAAAAAGTGAAAAACAATCAAACCAAGATCAGTCTGCGTAAAAAGCCTTCCATTATCAGTTGATCATTTCAACCTGTCAAGAAATTCCCTTTTCGTGGAGACACAAGTTGTTTAAAATGTATGACACCACCTAGCAAAAGTCATAATTTTGTCTTCCGGGTCATGACACTTACTCTGGGAGGTGGGTACCAGTGATTCGTGGCAGTTTTTTCCTGTGAAAATAATGTGTGAATTCGAACAGAATGTTAGTGGATGTAAACAACTTTTGAAGTACTGAAGTTAATAAAAAAATTGAAGACGCAAATAACTTGTGAATCCCCACAGCGCAGCAGAACTTATGTGCAATTAATTAACGCAAATAATTAAAAAAACTCCTAAGTGCAACAGAACTTTCGATAAAGTAAATAAAGTAAATATCTTAAGAACTGCTGAAGTCCAACGGAACATATAAGGCACATAACCTATTGTCACATGTATCGGTGACTAAGATGCGGGTTTGGATTGATGAATCGGTTTATTGGACCTTCACTAGTCGTAACTACAATTAGTTCTTACATTCTTCTATACATCCACTCCCTCATACGCCTTCATGGCATAGTGCTTAATTAGTTGAGCAGAGGGACAACTTTACCTTACTCTCAAGATTACTGTAACTACAGCACATAAAGTCTTCAATATCTGTTAACACTTCACACTTGAATCCTCACAACTCCTTTCCGTGACGGCTTCCTGTCCTTGACTCACGGTTTCTCAGCTATGACTGACTGCAAACGACTGTCCCCTATAAACCTTCAGCACGAACGACATATAAAACAACTCACGTGATTCCTATTCAGCAATTTCATTGGTGATCTGACCGTTGCCTAGCAACGAGCAATAACATTCGAGTTTACCGCGCCGTTGCCTAGAAACGATTTTAGAAAAATCCGTTATATTAGGAACTATTGAAGTCCAACTGGATGTTTGAGAAAGTATATAACGCAAATAACGAATAACTGAAGTCCAACGGAACGCTAGAAAAAATATATAACGCAAATAACGTATGAACTATTAAAGTCCAACGGAACGTTAGAGAAAGTATATAACGCAAATAATGAATTACTGAAGTCCAACGGAACGTTACAGAAAGTATATAACGAATTACTGAAGTCCAACGGAACGTTACAGAAAGTATATAACGCAAATAACGAATTACTGAAGTCCAACGGAACGTTAGAGAAAGTATATAACGCAAATAACGAATAACTGAAGTCCAACGGAACGCTAGAAAAAATATATAACGCACATAACGTATGAACTATTAAATTCCAACGGAACGTTAGAGAAAGTATATAACGCAAATAATGAATTACTGAAGTCCAACGGAACGTTACAGAAAGTATATAACGAATTACTGAAGTCCAACGGAACGTTAGAGAAAGTATATAACGCAAATAACGTATGAACTATTGAAGTCCAACGGAACGTTTGAAAAGGTATAAAACGCAATTAACTTGTGAAGCGCAGAAGTACAAGAGGACCATTACAACGGAGAAATGAACAGTTAAGAAAGCTGGTGTTTTTAAACTACCTGCAGTGTAACAGCTACGTGAGAGAAATACACCTGATGATGGCCATTTACGGCCGAAACATGTAGTGTAGAAGAAAAGAAGACAAAAGAACTACAATAAATTGTTGCACTTAGGACGGAGTTTGTGTCATACATTGAGAAAGAAAAGTTAGTAGGAAAGATTTCACCATTCGAAATGCTGAAGTCAAACAAAACGTTTATTTAAGCAAATTAGAAATATTTGAACGGCTAAAATTCATCAGAATGTTTAAGAATATGAATAACGTAAATAACATGAGAAGCGCTGAAGTCCAAGCGAATGTTCTACAAGCAACGCGAATAACGCTTGAACAGCTCAAGTATAACGAAAAGCTTATGAAAGTAAACAGCGTAAGAAATGCGGAAGTGGCAACGTGAAACAGAAAAATCTCAAAGAGTTGAGCTACATAAGCAGATTATATAGAGCCGAAACCAAACAATGAAAATTAGTAATGTAAATAGTTTACAAAACAGTAAATTCGAACAGAAAGTCAGTGAACAGTACAGTACATTCCACGTGCTGAAGTCCAAATGAATGTTTGTGGATGTACACCTGCTCACTCCACGTTACTGCAGTGGACTCTGTCGCTTTGTTATTGGTGACAGCACCGCGATCAACAGGCTAATTGTTTCCTGCGTCAGCAATCTGTCGCGGTTTTGTTGACTACACGTTGGCCACTGCGGCGCCGGATGTAAGCCGGGTACCAGCCGATACGGCAGAGAAAACGTGAGCATATGGCAGCAAGTCAGTTCGCTACTTGCAGCTGCGTTTGTGATAATGTACTACTTACTTACTCATGGAGTTGAGCCCTTCTTGAGGAGAAGCCAATTATGCAGCTACTCAAGAACTTCCCAGCATTTTATAGAATCCGAAGGTTCCTTACCGTGTTCACTAGAGCCCTCCACTTGTCACTATCCTGAGCCAGATCAATCCAATCCATACCCTATCATCCTATCTCTCTAAGGCCCGTTTTAATATTGCCCACACACCTACGCCTTGATCTTCCCAGTGGTCTCTTTCCTTCTGGCTTTCCCACCAATATCCTATATGGATTCCTCTTCGCCTCCATTCGTGTTACATGCCCTGCCCACCTCATACTCCTTGACTTGATCATTCTAATTACACTTGGAAAAGAGTACAAGTTATGAAGCTCCTCATTATGTAGTTTTCTCCAACCTCCTGTCACTTCATCCCTCTTCGGTTCAAATATTCTCAACACCCTGTTCTCAAACACCCTCAGTCGTGATAATGTACTACAGTGGATTAAATAAACCAGTCCTCGTTTTATTACAGACACTGCGGTTTCTCGTCCCTTACTGGTAAATGTTGATGTAGCGAAGTAGCAAATCTTTCCTACTAACTCCATCCTAAATGCAACAATTTATTGTAGTTCTTTTGTCTTCTTTTCTTCTACACTACATTTTTCGGCCGTAAATGGCCATCATCAGGTGTATTTCTCTCACGTATCTGTTACACTGCACGTAGTTTAAAATTTAAAAACACCAGCTTTCTTAATTGTTCATTTCTCCTTTGTTAATAGGTCCCGATATATCAGAATCCCCTTGCTGATATTTGTCAGATATGTATAAAATCTTTGTTAATTTACATATGTCAATTTGATTTTTGAATTTTGATATTTTTAAAATCTTATTCTTAAAATGAAATTTAAAATTTTTTTAAATTTTAAAATTTAAAATTCACTTTCTCACTTATTTCTCGTCTATTTCGTTCTGTTCTCCAATCTTTGCTTTCTATCTTTTATTTTTTTCTGCCTCTCGTTTTTCTTTCTGCGCTTTAATATTTCCTTCTTTCTCTCTCCACTTCTCCCTCCTACCTATGAGTATTGTAAGGTAATGGTCAAAAATGTATCCATCAGATTAAACCAGTAAATTTCTCATACTATTGATTTCTTTGTGAGCACAAACTAATAGGCCTGTATATGCGTACATACGGCTTTTGAGATCATAATTACATCCGGATCGGAAAATACCGAATTTCTACCAAAACCGAGCGAACTGGTTCAGGCCGTAACCAACTCCATGGAGCTGAGCCCTTCTTGAGGAGCCGCCAGTTGAACTTCCCAGCATTTTATGGAACCCGAAGGTTCATTACCGTGTTCACAAGAGCCCTCAACTGATTCCTAACCTGAGCCAGATCAATCCAATCCATACCATCACATCCTATCTCTCTAAGATACTTCAGCCTATGTCTAGATATTTCTAGTTGTCTTCTCTCTTTCAGCTTTCCCATAAAAACCCCATACACATTCCGCTCCTCCCCATGAGTGCTACATGCCCAGCCCAACTCATTCTCCTTTATCTGACCACTCTAATTATACTTGGCGAAATGATTCAGGCATTAAAGTTTCTATATTGCATTCGTAAGGCGCTCAGTTCAAATCTCGGCCGATCTCCACCTGTCCTGTCCAAAGTATTTGGTGGTTTTCCTCAGTCATTAAAAGCGAATATAAGGATAGTGTAAACACACACTGATCGCGTCCTTCCACATCATTTGAAGTCCATCAATCATTGTACCAACCGACGCTATATACAGAATGTCCGGATGAAAGGTATCAAAATTGATATCATTATATCTCAGAAAGAATTCATTATACACATTAATGGGTTACACGTCTACAAAGGGAAACTATCAACGTTTTATTTCTGAGTATAAAACTTTCTCAATAAATTTCAATGTGGGCTCCCTTGGTGGCACGACAAATATCCAGGCTTGAAGCATGTTTGGTGTTACCGTAGCCACAGCGTCCCTTATGCGGGCTTTCAGCTCTTGAAGCTCGTTGATCTTGACCTGGTAGACAGTGTTCGTCACATAACTCCACAAGAAAAAGATCACTGGGGTTAAATCTGGCGACCTAGGAGGTCAAGCCATTGGTCCACCTCTGTCAATTTATATCCCAGCCATCTCTCTGTCCTGGTGATTCCTAACATGTTGGCTGAAATGTGGTGGCGCATGCGCGTAAGCCGGGCATGAAAAACAAATTACACGGTTTTCCTTTCAGATGACATAAACCGGATACGTGTATGACAATTAGTTTCCGAGATATATTTTCTTTTTATTTTGGATACCTTTCATCCGGACACCCTATATTATGAGCCACTAAACCATCAATAAATTAAAAATAAAATATAGCATACATTTCTACTGTTCGCTTAAGTTTATATCCATCCATACGTACTTTCATGATAGATAGAAATCACTTCTGTCACCAGAATAACCCGTGGACAATACCTTGTATATTTAAACACATGACACCCATGTTTGCAGGCGTTGCCTAGCAACCAGCACTACGTACGTGGGCGCACAGACAACTCGCACCAGTTGCTGCTTTAAATTTGCTTCGGACGGTAATCAACATACCTGAAGCCAGTCAATGGAAAATAGTTCAAACGTATGCAGAAATCATGCGTGTTCTGTGTGGCATTTCACCACTCGGTGTTTCAGAACAAATTGACATTTACAGCATAACATGTAACCAATGTAAATACAGAATGTCCGGATGAAGAGTATCCAAAAACTAATTGTCATACACGTATCTGAAAGGAAAACCGTGTAATTTGTTTTTCATGCCTGTCTTACACACATGAGACGCCACATTTCTGCCACCATGTTAGGAATCACTTGGACAGAGTGATGGCTGGGATATGAATCGACAGAAGCTCGATTCAGGCCTTGGATTTATCTTCTATTATACAATTACTATTTAGAATCCAGGATAGCTCACAGTGTATACTAACGGGGTGCAAGGCCGGGGTTCAACTGACGGCAGGGAAAAAATTTTCTTTCAACAGCGCCCAGACGACACAGACTTTTGCACAAGTACCGGGGAGAGATATCCCTGGGGTTAAAGCGGTCGGGGTGTGACCTTACCTCAGTCTGGTTACGAGATTAAGAATGATGGAGCTATGCATCCAACTCCCCATACGTCATTATGGTTTGGTACTTCAGTAATTAGCACAGGGACAACTTCACCCGCCGGTCACAGTGCCCAGGAAATGAACAACCTTCGCTCGATAGAACAATAGAATCGTGGGTTCGACTTCCACTCGAAGCATGGATGTCTGTGTGCAAATATTTTGTGCTAGTATTTCTTTTATTGTTAAATAATTTACACAGCATAACTTCCAGAATACTAACCTTCATGGATGTTGCTGCAAGAACACGCGAATGTCACTCCAGTAAACATGTTTCAAACAAAACAGATTTCCTGCCCTCCCTAAATATATTTACGTAAGTACAGAACCTTACATTGCCAGCACATGCAATTTGTTTATTAAATTAATGAGGAAAACCATTCCCCCAGTCCATCTGCTAGCAGTATGAATCATATGCATGTCCATGGGCACAAAAACAAATTGTCTGCTCAGGTGCTAAGGTGCTGATGCAATTATTATTTCAGGGTGCCAAGACAAACAGGCATGACGAAAGGATTTCTTTACACATCTGTATCAAATCTGGTGATTCAGTGGTCCCACCCCCTCAGTGCGTCACGGCCGAAATTGAACGCTTGACCTGCGGGACACCTGCTCAAACAGACGGGTGCCTATATAACGCTGGGGTCCTCTTCATTTGTCACCGGACTTCGCAATGGCTCGTTACGAGGTAAGTGGCAGAACACATTCAAACCGAAACTGGTATGGTGAAAGATGGGCATTGCAGCCCATGCGGGCAGCAAAAATGTTTTATAGATTTTTTTGCTACTTCTTTCCCACTGCTTACTTGCTTGGCTTAATTTTCCACACTGAACATGCTGGCAGTATATTTCTTCCAGAATTTGGGCAACTTTTACAAGATTACACGGCCTAACATCACCGTATTAAATTATTGTTAAAAGAAAACTGATTCCTGCAGAACTATTGTTGATATGTAGTGCGTTCGTTACTAATTATCTGAACATTTATGCCAGCACTCCATGAAACTGATTTAGGAATTCAGACACCAACGGCCGTATTCGTGACAGGGCCCACAATTTTAATTAGTCGTGACAAAGATCTTTTATAATTTTGATCTGTTTCGAGTGGCCGGGGGGAGACGAGACGGAGTTATTTGTGTCCTGGGGGCAAATTTTCGATTTGCTTTGGCCCGAACATTCGAACATTCGAACTGCTGTAAGATGGAGAGGCATTGTGGTTGGATTCTCAGGGCATTTTGCAGCGAGCTCAAGGCTGGGGTGGGCAATCCCTGCTGCACCTTCCCTCTCACAAACGCATGGAATTTCTGTCATGCAGTAATCAGTTCTGTACTGTCAGCACTAAACTGTATATATTTCGCTAACTTTTGAGATAAATTTTATTTTTCTTTCACGAATTGTTCAGTCCTTATAAATGGACGAGCTGAGAGATACTGACCAATCACACGATCAATTAATGACAGATGTTACGTCACTTTTCTCTGGTTTGCAGACACTCATTTTGATTGCAACTATCGGCGCCGTGGCGCTCGCTCTACCCGCACAGAGGGACTATGGGGTAAGGACAGTACATGGGCAACCAGTGTTGCCACCACAAAAACCACCAGTGTTCCCACCTCATGGACCACCAGGCTTGCCACCATTTGGACCACCATTCTTCCCACCACCATTTGGACCACCAGTATTGCCACCAAATAAACCACCAGTATTGCCACCAAATAAACCACCAGCGTTGCCACCACATGGACCACCAAGCTTGCCACCATTTGGACCACCATTCTTCCCACCACCACCTGGACCACCAGTATTGCCACCACAAAAACCACCAGTGTGGCCACCACATGGACCACCAAGCTTACCACCATTTGTACCACCAAGCTTACCACCATTTGTACCACCGTTTATCCCACCACCATTTTTACCACCATTTTGGCCATTCCCTCCAATACCTCCATGTCCGCCCACCGAGAAACCAACAGAGAAACCCACCGAGAAACCCACAGAGAAACCCACAGAAAAACCAACTGAGAAACCAACGGAGAAACCCACAGAAAAACCAACTGAGAAACCAACGGAAAAACCGACCCATAAACCATCAGAGAAACCCACAGAGAAGCCAACGGAGAAACCCACAGAGAAACCAACAGAGAAGCCCTCCGAGAAACCAACTGAGAAACCCAGCGAGAAACCAACCGAGAAACCAACTGAGAAACCCAGCGAGAAACCAACAGAGAAACCCACCGAGAAACCTTCAGAGAAACCCACCGAGAAACCTTCAGAGAAACCCAGCGAGAAACCAACAGAAAAGCCCACCGAGAAACCAACTGAGAAACCAACCGAGAAACCCTCAGAGAAACCCACCGAGAAACCTTCAGAGAAACCCACCGAGAAACCTTCAGAGAAACCCAGCGAGAAACCAACAGAAAAGCCCACCGAGAAACCAACTGAGAAACCAACCGAGAAACCCTCAGAGAAACCCACCGAGAAACCTTCAGAGAAACCCAGCGAGAAACCAACTGAAAAACCCATCGAGGAACCCAGCGAGAAACCTGGCGAGCATCCTGGCGAGAATCCCGGCGAGCATCCCGGCGACGGCGAGAAACCTTACGAATAACCCACCACTAATTAACAAGCACTGACATCCCTCCGGAAGTCCAATAGACTGGAGACCATATGCTGCAACCCTTGCAGATTCTGTTGTTTTTGTCCGGCGCTGTACGTCAACTTTAAAATTGTCTGTTACATTTTAAGAATGGAAATATATGTTGCATACTAGATATCGTGTTCTCATTTCTGTCCCCTTCCCCCCCCCCTTCAAACACAATATATTCATTTGTCCTCTGTAAATGTGTCCGAATCTACATTACGTATACATTCGTAAGCAGACTTTTGCATTCTTTAACAGAATTTTAATGACTTCCTTTCCTCTTAACTCGTCATGCAGGGAACATTCGTAATGCCGTTACAAACTTACATACAAAACTACCATCTTCAAGGCAATCCTTCATCTACTCGTCCCCTCCCTTTCAGCTCTTCCGTCATTCTACTTTTACAGCTTGCTTCCTCTTACATTTTACACTTCATTCTAAACCCGCAAGTCAGTATAGCTTGGGTTCCGTCCCACATTCCATTCAAATTCCTAAGAAAAAGAATTGTGAAGCATTACCGCCATGTCACGGCCTTCCGCTCCTGCTCAACGGGATACACGATGTAGCGCGTATACGTCACACAAGTACACATGAACCAACCAGTCGCTGGGCGAGTCGTCTTTATCGCGTGTGTATGTGTACGTGTGTGTGCGTATACATAGCATCCCTTACAGAAAATGAATTAGGTCCAAGCCAATCCAAACCACACTTTCTGCCTCTGTGTGCCACAATATATCGCATATAGCTGATGGGGGCCACGCTACAGAGTAGTTGGTTGAGGCACTGTGCTACCAGCAGCAAGATCGTGGGTTCTATTCACGATGAGTTCATCAGATTTTTCAGTTGATCTAATACTTCCAGCCGCACTATGGCCCTGGAGTCGACTCAGCCTCTAACAGAAATGAGTACCAGAAATCTTCCTGGGGGTAAAAAGTGGATAGCACCTAAGGCTGACAACCTCAACCCCATCTGTGAGCAGATTTTCTTATATACATGAGAGCCTCGAGGTCTCACAAAACTATGGGCCTGCAAGGCTTGTTACAGGGAGCGATTTGCCTTCTTTTGATTTTACATCCCTGATACTCGGTGCTCTCAGTACTCCGAGCATGAATACGTCACGCCAGTAAATTGGAGAAACAGAACAAGAAGTCAGGTAAGAAGTAGTCGCCTACTTTATCTGGTACCGCACAGGCCACTTCTCCAGCAATTATTCTTGTGGGAAAATATCAACAGAGCCGTTGCCAAGCAACGATAAGGGAAATATACATAAAAACGTACAGATTAATAGGTGGGATTTGTGAAGTACGTCGCTGAGATGAGCTCAACTCGTGTCTGAGTGAGTGAGTGGCCGGTTTGGATTGCTTATTGGATTTATTGAATCTTCACTAGTTGTAACTACAAGTAATTATAACACTTTCACAGTTACTGTAATTATAACACGCAAAGTCTTCTAATCACACGCTAAGTCTTCACAGGTCGACTACTAACTCCTCTTCAACTACGAACTTCCTGTGGCTGTCTTCTACCGAGAACTGAACTGAACTAATAAACTGCTCGTGTTCAAAATCATAGTCGAAGTCACAGTGCGACTGACGGTCAGTCAGTCAGTCAGTAATACTTGGTGTCGAGCCCCATCTGGGCCTCATGACCAGATATTTATTACTGTTTGACAGTTACGGTCTTGTTTTTGTTAGGATCCCTCTCTGACGAGAGGGTGGGTCTGTCTTTCGTAAATGCTGCTGGTTCTTGCCAGCGCAGTCTCTCTCGGCTGTCCTAGATTTTAGACTTTCATTTCCGTCAACTCGCAAGTTCATGGTGGAGGTATTCAACCCAGCCTCCAGAAGAGCTCTGCTCCTATTATTCCATAAACCACGTTAGATAAATTTCACACGGACCACATAGAAAACATCTTTTGTCCTCAACTCATATTGTGGAAACGCACTCAACTGAAGGTTGTTTACGGGTCGTTGCATAGATATGGCGATACTTATATTGTTGCCTTCCGTGTATTCGGTCGCGGAGTGTTTACCGGTCCGTTACCTAGCAACGCTCTGGCCATTCACGTTACAATATGCATTCGTAATATGGTAGGGTGAAATACACAGACATAGAAAGGTGATCTCACAAGCCCAATTTCACTTTTTCAAAAGGAGGAGCTGCTGTTGTAAGATGGCAGCTGAGGCAGGGGATAATTCCGGAAGTCAGGGGAAGGGGAACTCCCGCCATTGGAAGCCGCTTCCAAGCAACAGATAGTAGAGACTAACAGATTGAGAAGACAAGTCTGTGTGTGATAGTGATGAGAGAAATGAAGCAACAAGTTGTATAAGTGTGCAATAAATCCAGTCATCAATCAAAACCCCGTCTATAACCACACTTATACATGTGACAATAGTTTCCATAGAGCGACGGAACAGTGTTCAAATTAGACCTGTAATCACAAAACAAAATATATCTAATAATGACACTGTACTGTCTCAAATTTGAGATTGGAAATTTAAGCCCTTACCTAAATGCTCGAGACTTGCGAAAAGTGTTTTACAACCATTACATTAGTATGACAACACCTGGACAGGCAACTAGGTTAAGAATGTTGATGATCAGCATGTATGCGTAATCACATAAGTAAGAAGCTCGCTAACAGGGCCACTGGAGTATCGTAATATTACCGCATAAACAGCGATGAGACGCCGTGGGCCCGCCCACATCCCCAGGGAATAACCAATTAGAATATAACTTT